GCCAAGTGAAGATTACCAGAGAGAATGTGGTAGCTTCTCGTACAAAGAAACACGCGAGTATACAGTCAACATTATTCCGAAAGAACGACCTACAGGTAAACCAGTGTCTGTTTGTTGATTATAGATTTTTTATTATAACAGTACATGTTTGACTATTTCTATTGCAGAGAACTTTCGCTTAATATTTTGCTTTTCGTTCTTTCAAGAATATAGGTCAGACGTAATTTGTATTTCTCTTGAGAGAAAAACATATTTTGACCGAATAAGATTATATGAAATCTAAGATTCATTTTTTCATGTGTTGTGAGAAAACATTTTTACGAGAAATTTTTTCTCAAATCTGATATTCCTCTACTGTTCTTTAATCAAATGAGCAGACATAAAAGACATGCATTGAAATACAGCGTTTTCGACTACACTAAGATCACTAGGATTCTTATAATTCGAGAACAGAAGAGCCTTTCTAGTCACCTAACCCCTCATTTTGTACCCTGTATAATAAATAATTATTACTGGTAGAAATGCTATTGTTAAACTTGATCATTATTACTGAAAATATGGATACGCACAGAAGCCAATAAATGTCATTGAAATATCAATAAAGCAGTACGATTTTGATGAATCCATCTAACATTTTCAAGAGATTTTTTACGAGTCATTACGGGAAAGTGACATTTCGTCTCACCTATTCATTACGAACTCCGGTTGAAGTAGTCCGTTACGATCTTCGAACTTAAGAAAAAAGACAGGGTGTTCGGAATGACCAAAGTCAATGAAATATGAGGAAAAACCATGATGCTCGTAATGACATGTGGTCGGAAGATCGTAACTAGGGGTGGCACTTTAACTTTACTTTAAAAGTTAAAGTTAAAGTGGCACTTTAAACTTTAAAGCTTAAAGTTAAAGTGAAACACTTTAAACTTTAAACTTTAATTAAAGTGAAAAATTTTCGAACTTTAAACTTTAATTAAAGTTTAAAGTAAAACACTTTAAACTTTAAACTTTAATTAAAGTAAAAATTTTAACACTTTAACTTTAAAAAAAAAGTTAAAGTTAAAGTGTTTGTGTCCTGCCATATTATAGGGGTACCCTTAGGTCCTCAACTGCTATCCTATAGGGGTCTCCACTTGTCCTAACACTGCGAAATAGAATCCGGCCATCTGATAGGTCCAGAAATAGACCAATCAGATTTCAGGAGGCCTTTTCTTCCTTATTGTACGGAGAATACATAGGCATGTTCGGGTCGATCATAGGGTTATCGAGGATGCTCTATCGATTGATGGGTATATGTTGGGGTCCCTACTCAGTGCAACACGACGAAACAGAGCCTGGGCATTTGTCCTTGAGGATCCAAGGGTACCCCTCTATAGTGGGATGTGAGTACCCAAGGGTACCCCTCTATAGTAGCACTTGAGGACTCAAGGGTACCGCCCTATAGTAACACTTCAGGACCCAAGGGTACCCGTATATTATGGGACTTGAGTACCCAAGGGTACTCTAATAGTATAGCAGTTGAGGACCTCAGGGTACCCCTATAGTATGGCATGACACAAGCACTTTAACTTTAACTTTTTTTTTAAAGTTAAAGTGTGAAAATTTTTACTTTAATTAAAGTTTAAAGTTCGAAAATTTTTCACTTTAATTAAAGTTTAAAGTTTAAAGTAAAGCACTTTAAACTTTAATTAAAGTTAAAGTGTTTTTAAAGTTTAAAGTGCCACCCCTAATCGTAACGAGCTCTGACAACTGTTTCTTAGTGACTGAACAGCGAAAATTTGACTGGAGATCGAAATGAAACAGTCCGGAAGTTCGTAATGACAAATGCATGAAGGTCGTAATGAAAACTATAAGATGTTCGGAAGGAAAATGGTAGGATGTTCCTAACTATATTTAAGTTTACTCAACTTTGAGAGAATATGAAGGGACACACTTGTCTTACAGTTTAAGATGGTGCATTAAAGATATCTTGATAAATGCAAACAGTCAGGATTGCTCTTTACTATTTTAATTCCAATTAAAGAAAAAAAGAAGAACAAATATTTTATTTTACTTTTAAATCTAATTCATAGTAGATATAGAGCATAATATCATAAGAAAAAACATGAAATGTATAGAGCAAAATTTTCAGTAGTTATTTTTTGATACGTTTATTTCTTACACCACCATTTGTACCTTTAACTGATTTAGCATCAATTGACGTAGTAGGACTGAAAATTGAAAAGAAAAATATAATACACATTAGTACTATCTTTATTCAACACAAAAGCAAAATACTTACACATGTAAAACAGATGTACCATCATTATTCTCTTCATTTTCTGATGAATATCTACGTCTTTTAGCACTAACTGTTTGTTCCTTCTTCGACTTTGTAATAGTAATAATAGGTCGAGATGATGTGTACCACTATTATGAATAGATTAAAAGACGAAAGGTAGAAACAACTGTAATTACTAAAGTATAGAAAGCAATGATACAGAAAGAAAATTATCTATCTCTATATATATAAGTATAGTTGTACTAAGTAAATAAATCCTGTTCTTCTCTATAAAAACAGAAGAAAAATCTTTATATCCGTTACGATCTCCGACCAATTATTTTTACGAATTCCTTGTCAATGTCATTCCAATCTTCCGGTTCCGAACATCCGACCTTATTCATTACGATCTCCGGACCTGCATCAGATATATCAAGAAATATTCTGTTCCGAACATCCGGTCAAACTATTCCAATTTCCGTGCTTTTCTATTACGATCTTCTGTCCACGAATGTTTACGAACTCCGGTCAAGGAAAAATTCATTTCCGAACATCCGGACGCATGTCCGGAGTTCGGAATGAGGTGAGACGAAACGTCCTTCACTCGTCATTACTGTGCCATGAAAATTTGCGATGGGAAAGCCTATCTAAACAGAAATTGTACATAGATGAAGATTGAATTTTTCAAGACTCCAGAGCTCCTATTATGCAAGTAAATGAGCTTACCTTTGAACAATACACAATAATGAGTTGGACTAGAGTTCAACAATAACATATCACTAATTAGTTATCTATAATATGAAAGATAACATGCAATATAGCAAACACACTTTTTATTGCTTTTCTGCCAAAGTTAGAAATGATTGTCATATATCAAGATTTGACTGAGAAAAAAAAGTTGGAATGAATAGAGGTCAGAGAAAATCGTAAAAGGTTATTTGTCTCAACTAAAGCACGCAGAATTGGAAATGAAACTAATGAAAATTATATTGACATTACTATATTATTTTAAAACATGACAATGTCTAATAATCGTTCTCATCAGCCAAAGACTTCTTCTCGCTTTGGCAGAAAAACAATAAAAAAATGAACTTTCTTTATTAGTTGCCATGTTTCATATCATAGATGACTAATTATAAAATAGTAATATTTTATTGTTGAACTATAGTTCAACTCATCATTCTTTATTATTCAAAATATGAGCTCATTTAATTGCATAATAGGAGCTCTGAAGTCTTGAAAAATTCACAATCTTCATCTATGTACAATTTCTGTTTAGAAAGGTTTTCCTATCTCAAATTTTCACAACACAGCGGTGAAGTCATAAAAAAGAACATCTTCTGCATATGTTAGATGGATTGATCGAAATCTCACTGATTTATTGATATCTCAATGGCAGCCTTTGGTTTTTGTGTATATCCATATTTCAGTGGAAATGATTAAGTTTAACGATAGCATGGTGAACTTCGGTGGCATTTCTGCCAGCAGTAGTTATTTATTATGCCGCGGTACAAAATGAGGAATTAGCTAACTAGAAAGACCTTTCTATTCTCGAATTATAAGATTTCTAATAATAAAGGACACTATCAATTATGATTTCGTTCTAATTTGAGAGATTTTGATGCTGATGATATCCCTGATTTACATTTTTTGTTGACTACTTGCAGAAGCATTTTCAAATATTCAGCTTTCATAGATATTAAGATTCGATGAGACAGGAATAGTTTTGAATAGGAGTATATTTATCATTCAAAACATGGTTAATGTTGGTTTCAACTTGAACTATCAACATAAACGATACTAATATTGCATACTGTACAAAACATATCAAATAAAGGTCAGTGACTTTTCTGTAGAAAAAAAACTCAAATAATCTTTTCATAAACAGAGTAAAGTTCTCTATCGGTTCAAGTAACAAAAAACTACATTATTAGTCTTTATGCAAAATCGATGTTTTATTTTTGGATGCTGTACAAAAGATTTTGAGCCATTTCAAATCTTTGTGAGTTCATACTCTTGACACGTTGAAAACGTTCGATAAAGATGTATTTCGCAAGTATTCATGTCAAAATTGCTTGTCCATAGAACAACTTAACCAATATATTAATTTTTATATTTGTTAAATAAATGAATTCAATCGTATTAGCAGTATGATTTGTTATAAAAAGGCACTCTAGACACCTCCAGTTAGAGTACTTTAATAGGACTCAATTAAAATTCGACTCAAAATAGGAGTCAAATGCTTTGAAAGAGATTTATTATCGAATAAAGATTATTCAACATTTTCTTCGACTGATAGTGATCGATCACAAACATAGAAATAGAATCATTTCTGTGAATACATAGTACCATTGTCTGTCTTCATAACAGTTTCGAACAAACGGAATGATATACGAACGAATCAAGACGGTATTATTTCTTTTTCTGCGTATACAGTCAATGTATACTGTCTCTATTTAATTCGTTCTTTTACAATTGAATTTCTCCGTAAAAGGTTACCATGATATATTATCGTAATTCTAGATCATGAAAACAATTAATACGCGTTTAGTGAGTTCGATTTATTATTAAATAATAAAGAAAATATTATAGCCAGATCGATATTATCTGTAACAGAAGATATGATATCTTTGTTTTCATCTTGTTAATATATAATACTGAATATTGTGAATATCTTTCAATTGTAGTTCCGACAACGACTCGAATTATGTGTCCACTAAGCATTGCTAGAATTAACCTTGTTATTATGGCCGGAGAAAAAGGAACAGAGATTCGAGATGATAAACCAACGAACGCATTATCAACTAACAATTTAAATCAACACCACATGGCTGTTACACTTTTTGAGCACACTGTTTATTTGCTACGCATCCAGTTGGATTGTTCTTCCCAATTGAAGACTGAATTAACTTCAACTGGTTGTAATCTCGCTCAAGATGTGAATGTTTGGATTGACCTGAATGATGATGGAAAATTTGATGAATCAGAAATCGGAGCTCCTTATCGTTGGCCGGTAACTAGTTACATGGCAGAAGGCATCTATGATATACAAATATACGTACCATTGATCGATGGCAGATACATAAGAAATGGACCACATCGAATGCGTATTTCTGTTGTGCCGAGTAATTATTATCGAAGTACTTGTGTCGATTATGACTACAACGAGTCACGAGAATATATGGTCACTATTATTCCAAGAATGAAATATTCTTGTAAGTATTTTTCTGTTTATTAGTGGATAGTTTTGTTTGTTATAATGTTGAATGAAAAGAATTGAAATGATTCGTTTTAGCTTTCTATGTGAGGGTAAACACAATTGATATGTATATGGATGATGCATGTAGTCACTCAATAACCCATGTTATCGGAGTATATGCGATGATTTTTCATCAATTGAGTAAAGTCTGCAGAGCAGAAACTAAAATTACAGTTGCTTTAAAGAATATTTTAGAGTATTGCAATCGAAAAAAAATGAATCTGTAGTATCACAAAAGGGATAGAAACGGTTAGAATCGAAAGTCTATCTGAGATTCGAAACATGTTATTAAGTCTTTGAATTCTCACAACTGTGAAAGAAATATGGGACGCCATTTTAAAGAATATTTTCAAAAAAGGTTTAATGGATTGTTCGATTAAACTGATTAATAATCATTAATAAAGAAAAGAGCAAAGTGCCAGTTGCACATGCAGATCGATCTCTCGATATCCTCGTTTTTGACTTTTTGATCAATTTCAGAAACACAATTTTCTAGAAATGCATGGTCTAGATTTTTTGTCAAATGATGGAGAGTAGAGTTGTTAACATACGTATCTAAGTTCCCAGAATGAGACTCTATTTCTCTGGCTAATCACGAAATCGAAGATGATGATGTTTTTGAAAATATAAGACTGTTGCTAGCAAGTTTCTTGCAAACATTTGAGAAAGCTAGTCATATCATCACAGTATTTTTTGTACAGAATGCAAATCGTTTATCACAATCAATCAAATAGAATCTTGTACACCCGCGTAAATAAATATTCCAGTGAATATATGCAGATTCCAATTTGTTTCAATTAGTATTTATTCTTCAAAAGTTTAAAAATTTCTATAACAAATAAAAAACCCTAAACCACATGTAGTACCAGACACTATTCATTTTTTGCATTTTAAATAGAACATAACACTTTATTTTATGAATTAATTTTTTTTGCAGCACTCGACGCTACGCCTACTTCTATGGTACCACACAACGTGCCATGTTCTCCTGATGTTGGTAAAGTCGTTCTTGTTGTAATGGCTGGTGAACATCGAACACAAATTCGGGATGACCAATCAACAAGAACTGCATTGACCAGCAACACTCGGAATTATCAACACCTAGCTATTGTACTATATGAAGATACTGTCTATTTGCTACGCATCCAATTTGAATGCACTGGATCACGAAGCGGAGATTCTGTTGGAAATAACTGTAACCTTCCTCATGATGTGGCTGCCTGGATTGATCTAAACGATGATGGTAGCTTTAGTGATATAGAAAATGCAGCTCCTTATCGCTGGCCACTCACTAGTTATATACCACAAGGCATCTATGATCTACAAATATATGTACCTAATATTGATGGAACGAAGACGAAAACTGGACCACATCGTATGCGTCTTGACATAACGTTAAATGAACACTATCGTCAAAAATGTGGCAAGAATTATTATAGAGATACGCGAGAGTATAATGTTACCATTGTTCGAAAAAATATGAAGCAAACAGGTAGATATTTTTTCATCAATTATATAGATAAAGATACTGAATAATGTAAGTATGACTTGATTATTTCGATTATAAATAATTTTGTTTGCATATAATGATGATTTCAACTTTTAAAAAATGAACGTTGCTATCAAGAGCATGAATATTGACGAGAATAATTATTGATGAGTAAATTATTCTACAAATAGAAGTATATTTTGAAAAAAAATGAACGTCATAATTTTAAATATAGAATAGATTTTAGAGGTTAATATGTCACCGAGATTCTTCATTTAGTAAAGTAAAAGATACTAGCTCGAGCAACTTTTAGCACATGTTTGTATTGATAAAAAATGCGTAAAGAAACGGATAATATCTTGGTGAACGTATAATTCAGTTCAAGATGATGTTCTTCTTCTGTGTATTGGGCGCAATAGATCGATATTAAGTTTGGTAAAAAAAAATAGAATCACTCAGATATCAAGAAACAGTATTTGTATAAATTCTAACTATATCATTTCTATATCAAATTTTCAAAGAGCAACATTATTCTATGTAAAAACATAGTTTTTCTGACAGAACTTTGACCATTCGTTTTCCTATAAACATAGAAATTGATATTTTTTTATAAAGAAAATAATATGGATCTTCTCTCGATCAAATTCATCAGTAATCTAACTATATAACCATTGAATTCCACAAAACAAAAATCCTAGGAATATGTTCTCTAATGAATGTTTCCTATTTGTCAATATTGGTCATAACTAGTGAATATGGTGAAAATAAAAGAGAATGTCTTTCTGTGTTGAAGATAATTTATTCTGAAAAATGTTCTTCTGAGAGATAGGATCATTTGAAATTAGATATATATATGTTTTTGATTTTATACTCTGTTTCTGTTTATATGAACATGACTATTAGATATGATTGAAAAATTGACCCATACGAACACCAATATGATATCATAGATAACTGGAAAAAACGATACTAGAAGTATAATGCCGTGTACAAATGCAATAGAGGCTATTTATTCTTCTTTTTGAGTTATATCAAAAAGGATAAATGCATTGCATTGTTCCATATTTATTTAATCGATCTATTGATGCACAATACAAGGACTTTTCACGATTTAAGCCAATTCGATAGTTATTAATCCCTAAAACATCATGGAGTTGCACATCATCTACAAAGTTCCAAGATCTTTATGATATGAAATGTTACATAGTTTACTCAACCGAATTCATACAAAATACATACTTCTATGAATTTCCATTATTTCTAGTCGATATCGGAGGTCCATATTTAACGTTAAGTGATTCAGTTTGTTCTCAAACTCATGGTAAAATCGTACTTGTTATAATGGCTGGTGAGAAAGGGTCACACATTCGAGATGATACACCAATAAATACTGTCATCAGAGAGGATCAAAATCGACACCATCTGGCTGTTACTCTATATGAAAATACCATCTATCGAATACGTATTCAATTGGATTGCGACCAAAGCTCCAGTAGAGCTTCGTTTAAGATCCAGTGCAATCTTGCTTACGACGTGAATGTCTATATTGACCTAAACAATGACGGAAGATTTGATGAATCAGAAAGTCGTGTTCCTCATCGGTGGCCACTACGTAGTACAATGACATTAGGCATTTATGACTTGGAAATTCCTATACCTAGTACCGATGGACTGACTACGAAAGGTGGATCACATATCATGCGCATTGTTGTGAAATCAAGTGAAGAATATAACAGAAAATGTGGCAGATATGACTACAGTGAAACCCGAGAGTACACAGTCGATATTATTCCAAAAGACACGTCAAAGGAAATTCCAAGGGACCCATATGGTGGAGGTAATATGCTTTTCTAATTACTCAAAAGAAGCTTTCAACCACATTAGAAATGTACTACTCTTGGAACCTAAGATCGAACGAGTTAACTGTTATCATGATTTCTGTTTTCAACCATCAATAAGATTTTAATAAGTCCAATAGCACAGACTTGTGACAACAGAATTATGAAAGCGAAAAAGATCATTGAATAAAAAAATCATGAAATTTCAACAGACATCGAAATATCTTTCATTTTATTGGCCTTGAAACATTTCTCGGTAATGAAAAGGAGAAATGCTCTATACATCTTGCTATAAACAAAAATAAGTTTCTTGAAGCGCACGATTTTTATTGTTAAGATATCAATCAAGCTAGTTTCAGTCTCTCGTATGCACACCTACAATGGTTCCATCACGTTCCTTTATTCTTTATT